GCCCCCCCCCCCCCCCCCCCCCCCCCCCCCCCCCCCCCCCCCCCCCCCCCCCCCCCCCCCCCCCCCCCCCCCCCGGGGCCCGAAGGGGGGGGGGGGGGGGGGGGACGGCGGCCCGCCCCCGGGGCGGCGGGGGGGGGGCCCGGGGGGCGGGGGGGGGGGGGGGGCCTGGGAGCCTTCCGGCGGATGTTAACGGGAAGGCCCATGGTGCGGGAACTTGTCCATGCACATGACACCTGCCCCCTTCGCCGCCTCGCGGCCCGCAGCCGGTCGGGGCGAAAGGCCCCAGGACCTTGAGGGCAATCCCTCCAAGCGGAGCCCTTCATCCATGCGCCAGCCCGAGGGGGGGCGGGGGGGGAGAGCGCGTGGAGCTCGCTCGTCGGCGAACAGCGCCAAGCGACTGCCCCCCTCTGGGCACCCCCATGCAGCGGAATGGGGCGAGCCTTGTAGACCGGAGATCTGGCTGGGGAGCCCCACCCCCCCCCATTTGGGGGGCCGGGTGCGGGGGACCTCGTGCGGTACACCCCCCGCCCCCGACCGGACATCGGGATCGGCGGCCGGATGTGGGTGGCTCGGCCGAAATGAACCGCCCAAACGCGCGCGCGTTGCACGTTGTCCGCCTGAGGTGTCCCTACTCGCATCCTGGCCACTTGTCCGCGCGCCTGCCCCTTGCCCTCCGCAGAACAGGAGCCATTCTCAGACCCAGGGCCGCGGGGCGAGATGCTCGATCGCCGGGGCCGGGGCTCAGCTGCCGGTGCCCGTTCTCCCGGTCCAGGGCGACCGGGCGCTGAACTTGCAGGTTCAGGCGTGCGCGCGCAAGCGCAAGCGCCAACATGGCGGCCCGAGTACCCGTGACAAGACAAGACCGTCACCCGGTCGGCGATGCGGACCGGCTGGGAGGAAGGGGGCGGGGGGGGGGGCAATTAAAACCCGCCTGCCGGCCCAAAGGACGGGTGGCGACCGCCAATCAGATGTGCATCCTCGCCCGGTTCACACGCGCCGGATGTGGGCACACGCGTGTCTCGGCAGCGGGCGCTTTCGCCCGCACAGAGCGCCCCCTTCGCCGCGCGACCACTGACGACGCTTTGGGCTTGCGAGGGCGGGACGGGCAAGGAAATCCCCCCCAGGCGTGGGTGACTACTAGCGTCGCGCCGCGCCCCCGCCCCCCCCCCC